GTGCTTGTTGTCGTTTTTGTTGTCTGGTTGTGGTGTTCGTCCTGGGTTTGACCTACTGCAGGTCAGGCAAAATGGAGGGCGGCTGGGCCAAGGGCGGCGATGCGTTCATGGCCGGCTTGGAGGCCATGATGGAAGCAGGCGGTGCCTCCCCAGGCACATTGGTTGAAGATGTGGGAATCTAACTCAAGAAATGGGAGGGCTTCAGGCAGATCGGGAATGGGCGCACCCAGAGATTTGACCCAAGATGATCCAAGTGGCTCGGTGCTACTGTAGCTGGCTGGCTGGTTGGTTGGTTGGTTCGTTCGAGGGTTGGTTGGTCACTGTTACAAGCCAGCAAGGTAATTCACAGGACGTTCAGAGCTATAGGTCGTCCGCATGAATCATCACGCATTCGAATGTGTAATGTGTCTGCATGTGTCGATTAATAAACATATTGTAGCTTCTTCCCTCGGAGCTATGGTCATAGACTGGGCAAGGTTCCCACATGCTAGCAAACAGATGAGCACCATCGTGTTTGCCCTTGAATGGCCCAACCTGTCTCATTTCAGGGTGGTTGCTCTGTGCCTGTCCCAAAGCTTGTTCTTGCATGTTCCTGGCACGTTATTATTTCTGATCATTTGTTCGAGGGCCCACTGCTGCCCCCCGTGGTAGGGGTTTGTCCAAAGGTTACAAGCTAAAAGGTTGAACAATTGCCTTGCTTTCTTTGGACTCGCGCGGCACGGCCGAGAGGCTACCGCACCATGCTTGACGCTCTAGTGCCGGCCGCGGAAGCGCTGAAAGAAGGCAAGGGCCTTGCAGGCGCGCTGCGGGCAACAGGACGCCCAAGCTCGAATTGCAGTCAGGTGATGTGTTTGTTGCCCGGGCTCACTCCTCCTATGGAAACCTGGCAGGGGTCCACTGGAAAACCGTCATGCTTTGAACGCACCTCTATACCTCCGCTTAGAAAGACTGCGGAATTTCATAGTGCAGTACCATAGGAATGCTGAACAAGGACTTGGAGCTGTGGGCACAAGGATAGCCATAAGCTCTTCGGAGGAAACGCTGCCTCAAGACTTCGTGGCTCACGCCAGGTGCAGCGTCGGCAGCCAAGGAAGGGGCGGAAGCCACCAAGACAATGAAGCCCAGGGCAGGGCTTCGTCGATCGCGTCAAGTCGTGTGGCACGAGTCGAGTGTTCCACAAAGGGATTGTCCATGTAGGCCGCAGCCAGAGGATCAGAGCACGGTTTGGCATGGTTTTGTGAGGCTTGCCTCTGCAACAACGTCTTCCGGTTTTGGCCCTGTGTTAGTTAGCATGCGAATGCTGTCGCAAAGTCTCCCATCGGTCGCATGACGTCCCGCTTACCTCTGAATTCCAACGGGCAAGGGGAACTATGAAATTGCCTTTTCTGGCCTTACCAGGTGCCAGTGTTCTAGAATGTTTCGCCACAAGTATTTGCCGGTTGCAGCAGAACAACAGATGCCAAGGGGTGTTGGGTAGGAACAATATGCATAGCATGTACATGGTTATTTTGGGAACACTTTGTCTGAACTTCCTTCCTATTTGCAGGGTGCCTTAAAGGATACATCCAGAAACCACTGGCTTCTGAGCAGGCCGGCCGCTCAGAGAATGTGCCGGAGAAGGTGCTGCAAGGCAAGGGATCTTCAAGTGGTGTGCTGTAAGCGGATGTGTCTTAAATTGCTTCCAAAACGTGTAGTTATTTTTTTCCAGTCAACGGCACGCCCATGTGAGCGGTGCCTGGGAGCCTGGGAGCATCAATGCTTATGGAGAAAACTCTGGAATCCAACACCTCTTTCCGAGGTGAGATATTCTCTTTTGGCGAAGGGGTTGATTTGACAGCGGCATGCAATGAAACTGTTCGGATGTGGTTTCAGTTCATCTCACTGCAAGTTGCCCCGGATTTGGAGAACTGAGATGCCCCTGGCTTGGGCCACGAATCACCGGCTTTGCCTGTCCGTGTCTCAGGCAACGCAGACCCCGGCGCCAAGGCTGCGGAGATCTTCTTGGCGGCGCTGTGCTGAGAGCCGCCAAATCTGCCGCGCACGGGGAGGGGCACTCGGCCGAAAAAGGGCCGCAGAAAAATAGGCGAACGGGGGCAGTTCCGGAGATATACAACTGGCAGGAGCTTTGGATCTTTTGGCTGGAAGACCCAATTTCCGGAAAAGTCTCTCGTGTGAGGGCGTTCCGTGGAGTTTGCTTCCGGAGGCAAGCGAAAGATGGGGGTTCGACACAGATTGTTTGGCAATACTCTGGCACAGCCAGCTGGGCAAATGCGCTGCGTTTGCTAGCCCAGATTTAGTTTTATGCATGGGGCACTGCTGGCCTGAAGGCTCAGACGTAATGAATTGCAAGGAATCCACAACTATTTCCACCAAAGGGTCCTCCACTTCAACAAATTCTCATTTGCAGGCACTTGGTGAATCCTTCTCTCTGACCTTTGGGCGGGCGGCAACATGCGTCCACCACGGGGTGGCTGAGGTGGACAAGGCTTCACCATGATTTAGCATACCAATACTGGCCCACTCATTTGCCGGTTGTGGAAGAGGCAGTTGAGTTTTGGGAGCCAACCTTTAAAGTACCGATCGCAGCGCACATGGGTGCGGCTGGCTGACGCGAAAATAGAGGGCTACTGCAGCTGAGTGGATTGAATGGGCAAACAGAAACGCCTCCTGGATTTGCTTGGGTGAGATGGTTGTGAGCTCATGAAGAGCTCTAAGCCCCTCCTTGCAGAGTTTGTGTGCGATTTGTTTTCAAGCTGACATGGCTGTCTGTCCGGATTGATCAACCTGGCAGATTGAGAGGAGGTGCCGTCCAAAACGCAATAGCAGACGCAGTCAACCCTATGCAAAAGAGAGAGGGAGAGAGAGAGCGAGAGAGAGAGGCTAAGCGTCAGGGAGAGAGCGAATGTCGAAACAGCAATGAATGCAATGTCGAGTTCCATTTTGCAGCACATTTGGGGGACAACGTTTCATATGCAAATCTTGCTGTGCGGTTCCTCGTTGGTTTGCATATGTTTGCATGTTTGTTTTTGATGCGGCCCTGCACAGAACGCAGATGTTGCACGAAGGTGCGTTGTAGTTGAAGTGTCATCGTGTCCGAACGCTTAGATGCGGAGGATGAAGGTAGGCCGAGGCGGAATCCTTGCGGCTCCTACTTGATGTCTGCCCGGGCTGTCCTTGCATGTTTTTGGGGCCCCTGAATCCCTTGGGCGCCCTTGTCGTTGCCTTGCTGAAAGACCCTCTGGACGGAACGGCAGAGAGAGAGAGAGCTAGAGAGAGAGAATATCGCGGGTGGCATGTTGAAAGCAATGGAGTAAATTTGAGTGTTGAATGGAATGGCATGGAGAGTTAGTTGACTGGAATGGAAGGGAATGGTATGGGGTGGAATGGACTGACACGGAAAGGAAGGGAATGGAATGGATGAAGCCATGAACCAATGACATGAAATCATTCTGCAGAGATTAAGCGAAAGGGAAAAGCAAGACAGGGAAAGAACGATATAGATACAAGGAAGCTATATAATTTATACAGCAACCGGAACAACAAAAGGCAGATATGCAGTGGTAGTCGGAGACTTGGGATCACCCAACATTCTGCGTGACACAAGTCATCCTGCAAAGATCTCTCTGAAATTGGCAGGGCAATTCTGCGCCAAGGCGGCGACCACCTCCATTCGTCCATGATGGAAGTTTGGTGGACAAATTTGGGTATTGGAGGAGGACCCCAGCGAAAACTATTCGAGGGGCCAAATGGCTGTCCAATTCCTGAAAGAATACCCTCCAAAATGGTCACAGATCCTGGGCCAAATGTTGTCCAGCATCCCCAATTAAGATTACAACAACAAAAGTCATCCCCAATCAAGATTCATCCCCAATAAAAATGATCCCCAATCCCAGGGTCCCTCAATACCCCAACGCCCTTGGGAATCTTCCCGTCTAGATTTCGCTTCCGGAGAATGCGCTCAGGCCGGCTTCGGCCGCATCTTCCGATCACTGCGCACCATGCGGATGCTGCGCCTCCTGCGGCTCTTGTGCCTCGCTGGGTCGGGGAGGAGTTCGGCAAATTCACAGGGGAAACCCACGTCTTGGGGTTCTCCAAAAGGTTTTCTCCCTGTTCCTCTTGGGATGCCGGCTTTTTGGGTTGCGCTGGCTTTTGGGGTTGCATGTCAATGTGCAGACTCGATGGCCGGTTAGGCCAAGAACCTGTGTAAGGACCTGACAACGGGGTTGCGTTGCGACCTCAACCATGAAGGTTGCTAGCGGGTGAAGTGTTGCAATTCACCCCATTGTTGCAAGCCAGGTGCCAAGATTCTCCCTTTGCAAAGGTGGTTACAGACAAGCTGTTGCCAGAGTATGGCTTTCTGTTTGGAGAGTTCTGCAAGGGAAGGCACCGACAAATCATTTTTGCGGTGGGAGGTTAGCGGGAAACGGATGAAACGGTGCAGAGATTGCGCAACCAAATCCATTTGGATGATTCATAGCTTCGAATGCCGTTTGACCACCTAGCAGACTTGAAAGGATGAGAACAAATACTGTACATTGTGTCTGTGTGTGTATCTTAAAATTGGGGACCCCACAGATGGTGTTGGTCCTTTGGCTTATTTTGCAGTTGCCCGCGAACTGGTCTGGATTGGGAAGTGTGCATGTGTGGGCAGGCTTGTTTGGCGATGCTTTACAGGTTCCTCCGTTGGTATTATCCAAGTTGTTTCGCGCTTGTGCCGGAATCATTGAATGGTGAAGACCAGTGTTTGTCACACTTGCTTCTGCTGAATCTGGCGTGCCCGTGAGCCCTAATAATTCTATGAAAGCGCTTGCACGGTGCGTGGCTGTCCTGGTAACATGGGGTCCTGTCGCCCAGGAAGCTGAAGCGAATTCTGGGAGTAATCTCGGAGAGGATTGACTCGGAGTACTTGCGCCTTTGCTGAAGCGCGGGCGTGTGTGAGGTCACGTTGTGAGGTGCTTCGATGGTTTTGCGTCCTCCAATAGGTGTTCTGTACATCGAGGCTGCATCAAGATGCGAATAGTCGGCTCGAACCCATCGATGCTTGCAACACGAACCGCTCATGCTCTCATCAGGGCAGAGAGTTGCTATTGCCGTGACAAGCTTTGGTGTAGGTGCACGCTTTGTGTCTTTCACGTGCTCAGCATGCCGCAGTGACTGGCTGTGTGGCAAGCTCAGGTATACGCTTGCCAGCCTGGGGAAGCTGCTGGGCTTACTCCTATTGGTGAACCACCTCATTGCTTGCCAGGGCCCCAGTCCTGTGGATAGCTGTGAGGAAGAACTTTTACTGACATGTTGGGGAGCTTCACCAGTCACAGCCTCTCAGTTTGCTGGAGGAAGCCCGCTCCATACGAAAGAGTTGGGTTTATTCCCGCGCTGGATTTGCGGAAGGATGGTTTGCATTCCAACATGCCGACTGGTTGTCACTTCGTTCAACGCTCGGATTGATGATTTGTTTCTTCTTCTTTTTTTCAGTGCATGGGTGCAGTTGCACGTTGTAGAACAGTCTAGCTAGACTCGGGGAATCCCCCACAGCGCGAGACAAGGTGGCTGGTTCAGCATCAGCCTCGCCACAAGGGATGCTGGGCAGCCGAATTGGATAAACCAGTGCCTTGGAGTGCATAGAATGCTTGCGGCGGGGGGCACGCACTGGCGGTTGCTTGCTTCCGTCAGCGCTCATCAGACTCCACACTCCCAGAGGGCAAACATGACATATGCCTCACCCAGCAACAGTAACAGCGCAATGCTGGAAGGCACCGCGGATACATGCGTACCTGGATGATCTCTGACAACAATGATGCGACGCATGTCCAACCATACTTCAGACAAACATCAGGAAGCAAGGAATAATTAGATCCAATGCCACAATGCCAGGCGGTTCTCTGCAACCCTGTTCATGGTTAGCGCCGGCTTCAACATTTGCAAGGCTTGCCCTTCAAGGTGCAACATGATCCCACATGCCACATGTTTGAAGACACAACCGAGACCAGCAGGCATTGAGCATTTGACACAGGCCTGTGCAGGCTCCGCTCCTTACTGCGTGGCGGGGGGCAGCCGTGAGCTAAGGAATCAAATGATCGAAAAGAGCATTTGGCCGGATCCCTGGTTTTGGCAGCGCGGGATTCTGAACATCTTGATTCAGTGAATCATCCGGATGCGCTTCTTGCATTGAGCTGGCGGGCCCCTGTGCCGAGGTGGCAGTATACGACCAGCTTGCACTGGGCGTTAACGCACCTCGGTTTCACTCGATTCTTCTTGCCACTTGCAGAACACAACTCAGATTTCAGATTGCATGCCAACGTCTCCGTTTTCAAACGTGGCTTCAGACTTGAGCAGTTGCTCGTCAAGCTGGCCAGCTATGCCGTGATGTGCCATGTGGTTAGGCTGTGCGATCATGTACGCAGAGATCCCCCAGTTTTGGGCATCCAATTCCTCATGTCAATTTGCAAGCTGTTCGCCCTCCTGCTCGGAAGCTGTGAGCCTCTCCTGGCTTTGGGTTTTGTGTTTTGGCCACACCAAGGGGCCAGCGGCCAACGGCAAGCCTCGTTTAGTTGCAAGGGCGGCTTTTACCCAAGATGCCCCTGCCTAACGGCCACTCTGTCGGCCACGGTGTGTGAGCATGAGCACCATTCTCGCCCTGGCCCAGGCAGTTCACGCCTGCTTCTATGGAGGTATTCCCTCAGAATGAGACAGAACGATCCCTGGCAGCGCCCCGGATCCAACCATAAAGTGGCTGACAGGGAGTTCTCACGGGTTGATTGGAGTTGGAGTCCGAGGAGCCAGCGTAAGCTGGCACCTTTGAAACTGGGCATGGCTCGCTGAAGCTTTTGTTCAATAGAATTCAATGTGAGCTTTGACATGGGATGAAATCAGGCGCAAGCATTAAGAGGAGGTGAAGGATTTAGGCAAACCAGGCTTGACACTGACTTCCGAGCTGTGTAGCATGCTGTGCTGTCGGGTGTGCTTTTTGTCAGTTGGCAGGCCTTCTTAGACACTTGAGCCGGGCCTGCCTTGCTCCAGTCCCAAGGAAGCACAATCATGTTAGCAGACTTATGAACTGGCGCGTCCCAAGGTGGTTGTGCTGATCCTCTCTTTGGCTCCTTGGCCTAGTAGTGCTAGGTTGCCTGGCCAGTCGGCTTCCAATGCCACTGCCACAAACAGATCCAAAGGGCTGAGAGAAACTTAGTGTCAGGTTCTTGGAAGAGCTGAACACGTGGGTGAGAGTGCTGGGTAAACGTTATTCGCAAAGTCCCGATCCCAGAATTAGCCCGTGTACAACGCCACGTGCTACACCGCTTCGGGAGCCTGAACTCCAGCTTAATTAAGTCTTGGTAATTTGGTAGTGTTTCCAGGATTGCTACTGACATGCCATGAGCCAGCAGCACTGAGACAACATTCCTTTGTATTTCAAACGGGCAACGGTTGTTTTCAGGGATGAAGGTCTACATTATCGCGGTTTCCAGGAAGTGGTATGTCCTTCTTACAACCAGCTTTTGAGTTCAGCCTGTGTATGTGTGTGTGCGCGTGCGCGTGCGTGTGCGCGTGTTTCGGGTAGTCGTGGCGAACCCAAAAAGCAAAATCCCAAACTCAGATTTTCGCGGAAGCACTGCGGAAGGTTCGCGGAAGGCCCGCGGAAGCGGCGGCAAGCAAGCAAGAGCCAACAAGCAAGCAAGGAAGCAAGTAGGAAGCAAGTAGGAAGCAAGCGAGCAAGTAAGCAAGCAAATGCACAAGCAGCAGGATCAAAAACTATGCAAACAACTTGTGGTCGCGGACGCAAAATGTCTCTTATTTAATGCTGTGAACTCAGGCCGCGGAAGGGTCGGCGGAAGGTTGAACACTTTCGATTGAATCAGACGGGAATAAAAATTGCCACCCGCTTGGTCCGGCGTAGGTGGCGTAGGCGCTGCGTAAGCAAGTGAAAAACCTGAAGATCCACAGCTAAAAGAATCAGACTGCCCAAGTGGCACCGAGCAGGTTGGGCCCATCAAGCGTGACAACATGCGCCCGGCCCGTTATGAGGTTTCATTCTCTTCCTTTCTGGCAAGCATCTCATCATCCATGGCGGTTTTGTACACCATGGACCAGGCCGGGAGCGTGGGAGCTGCTAGTTCATCCAACATGGCGGGGGTGTTGGTCTGTACTGATGCTCAGTCTGAAATGCTTTTAACGGGTGTTCACCCAATCTGTTTCGCGTTGGCGTTGTCACCAAAGCTTGCTTCCAAACAAGATCCTGTGAGTCTTGAAGTCTCGTGATAGCAGCACAAGGTCTTGATCCGGATCTCGAGTCAGTCTTCCGGCGTAGACCTTGACCTTGCCTCTCCATCAGGAGACCAACAAGCAGCCCAGCACTTAGAAAGCAACTGTGGACGGGGCATGTTGTGGGCTAGCGTAGAATGGCCCCACACCACTTGGGGACTGTGTTAAAAGCCGGTGTGTTTGTTTATGCCAGGTGCCAAGGGTCGTCTATCACTCAGCCAATAAACGCGCACAAGGACATGTTTGAAGCTCCCGTCGCCCCGGGCTCCTGCCTTCAAATGCAGCCAGTGGGTTAGAGTAGCAGGGCATTCCACCTTACAATCAAAATTGAGGAGGGGGGCGCCAATAGATTAAAACTGGTTTGGGCTGGCATCCAGTTTCACAAACTTTAGCGGTGAGCAATCTTTTGCAAAAGGTGTAGCGAAGGTTCCACGCGCAAAGGCTTTCCAAGGTCAACTGAAAAGGGCCTTTTTCAGAACGCGGCCTGGGCTAGTGTATTTTTGAAGCAGAAACAGCTTTAGGCCACTTTCTGCTTGCGGTCACTTGACCTCGGTGTTTGACTAACAGACTGGATCACGCGATGTCACGCAGCCCAGATAAATCCCGACATCTTGGGTTGCACCGTTTACGTTTGCTTTGCTAAGCAGAGCAGATATGTTGCCACCTTCCCCGCATCATCAGCCACGTTGAGCAGCTCGCGTTTGCGCTTTGCAGGAAGCCCGCGAAGCCGCTGAAAACAACGCGAATGTTTGCATGGAATTATTAAATCGTGAATCCGGCAAACACTCGGAACCCCTGACTGCACTCACGTGTCAAACTGGGCATGCTTGGGCCACCTGGAGCCAGAGGACACATGGCAGAACAAGTCGGAATATAACATGACCCGCCCCCCTTACCCCTTGCCAGCCCCCCAATTACAAGGCACAGGACGCTTGAGAAGATGAAGTTTGGTTCAGAGCTGCGTGGCAGCGGCCCCTTTCATTGAGGCAAATGTCCAGCAACACCTGTTCCAATGACGGCCTGGCAAAAAAAATAGTTCTTCCTTCGCATAGCGAGGCAAATGTCCCGCACTTAAAAGTTGAAGCCTAGGGGCCCTTTTAACCCAGCTGGCGGTTGAGCGGGGTCGCGCGAACTGGTGCTCGTTCAAACCAAATGGCAGCCTTAGCATATACGCCTAGGCTGGGGTCCAGCAACAAACGAAACGGGCAGCCGTCAGGCCACTTGAAGAACCTGCAGCCGTTTCAACCAACTTAGCTTTGGAATGGTTCCAATTTTCAAAGGTGTAAAGCGGGCGGACAGGGCTTGTCATTGTGTTGCGGGGCACTTGCCGTTAGTATGCTTGCCTCATCAGCCCTCCTCAACAAATTCACCCTTCAGTCCTTAAAAATTGAACCTCTCAAGATAGTGCGAACTGGTTCATGCGTTGGGACTTCGGTGTTACAACTGCGTTTTGTTGAGAGGCCCTTCCCTCATCCCCAACAGTGCAGCTGCCAAGAGCCCCGGGCTCCGCGCCGATTAGTCCTTTGCTTCGCGTAAGGCTGTAGGCTACTTGCTGCAGCCTGTTGCTAGATGCGGATCCCGCATGCCCCCCTGCTCGCGTTGGAGAGATTTCTGCAAAGATGGAATGAGCGCAGATTGCTGAAGGTTCGATGGCGTTTGATCAGATGGGTGGCTGAGTGGCTTGGTTGTGTAGGATTCTGCGTCCTGCAAAATATTCGTTGGCCAATGCGCGCTATGAAGCCGAAGAATTTCATAACACCCCCAGAAACTTGTTGCGTCGAGCTTCTCAGGTTTTGGCTGCTGCGGCGGTTTCTGAAGCAGCAGCAGGCGCGGATGCGCAGGGGATGGGCACAGCCTCGAAAAGAAGATGCGGGGGCAGCGGCAAAAACTTTGTGCAGACGAGTGTATAGCTAGTACTGAAGACAGTGGCTGCCTTGTACTCGATGCATTGCACACAGGGCCGGAGTGTGGGAAGATTCGCTTTTCTGTGGGAATTGAGTGCCAAGTCCAGATGTTGGAAGATCCACGCGCGTGCCGCCTCGCTGAGGCGCACGTGCATGCACATGCGTGTCGCCCTTGCGCTTGACGCGCCCCACACCGCATGTCACGCACCGAGAACCGCACCCTGTGCCCTGCGTCCGGTATACGCACACACCAGCACACACAGACACACACACACACACACACACACACACACACACACACACACACACACACACACACACACACACACACACACACACACACACACACACACACACACACACACACACACACACACACACACACACACACACACACACACGCACGCACGAACACCAACACCAACACGAACACGAACACGAACACGAACACGAACACGAACACGAACACACACACACACACACAAAACACACACACACACACAAATACACACACACAAACACACACACACAAACACACACACACACACACACACACACAAAAACACAAAAACACAAAAACACAAAAACACAAAAACAGAAAAACACAAAAACACAAAAACACAAAAACACAAAAACACAAAAACACAAAAACACAAACACACAAACACACAAACACACAAACACACAAACACACAAACACACAAACACACAAACACACAAACACACAAACACACAAACACACAAACACACAAACACACAAACACACAAACACACAAACACAAACACAAACACAAACACAAGCACAAACAAAACACAAGCACAAGCACAAGCACAAGCACAAGCACAAGCACAAACACAAACACAAACACAAACACAAACACACACACACACACAAACACACACACACACACAACAGCACACACACACAACAGCACACAAACACACAAAAACACACACACACACACACAAACACACAAAACACACACACAAACAAACAAACAAACAAACAAACAAACAAACAAACAAACAAACAAACAAACAAACAAACAAACAAACAAACACAAACACACAAACACAAACACGCACACACACAGAGACACACACACACACACATGCACGCTGACTCTTTTGAGGGCGCACGACGACGTAGAGACACACACACAACCACACAGACCCAAAGACCAACTTGCAGGCACGCAGACATGTGGAAACGTAGCCATGCAGACTTGCAGACAGTTAGAAACCCAGACGCCCAGACACTCAGACTTACTGAGAAACACAAACAAGCAAACAAACAAACAAACAATCACACGAGCAGAAACGCACAAACAAACAAACAAAAAGGGACAAACAACCACAATCAACCTCACACAACCACAAGCAACATGAGCAACACACAGATTCAATCAACACCAACAGCACAACCCACACAAACAACGCAAACAATACAACGCGAGCAACGCAAACCCCACACGCAGTAGAATATTGCCAGCCGGACCTGTTTATTTTTGGAAAGTGGTTCATTTCAGCCAAATAATTACCAAGTTGCGCCAAAGCTACACCAAGCTGCTGTGTGTGTTCGGGTCTGAGTGCCCACTTTGCACCAGGCCACACATTGTTTTGACACCTGGTCTTTGGTGGCAGGTTGCGAGGCCTGTGGCTGGACGAGTGCTGAAGTATTTAGAGCCGCTCGGATTCAATTTTGCGCAGAAAGTGCCTTTCATTGATGTGTGGCCGTATCGAATTCCACGGCCGGCTAGGGAGTGTTGATGTGTTTAATTTGCTTGTTTGTTTGTTTGTTTGTTTGGTTGGTTGGTTGGATGATTGCGTGTTTCTGTGTTTTTTCTCCTTGTTTGTGTGTTGTTTTTGTGTTTGTGTGTTGGCGTGTGTTATGCGGTTGTGCATGCGTGCGAAATAGTGCCGCCCTCCGCGAAAGCTTCGCAATGAACCTCTTAAAAGCGAGTATGTTTTTGGATAGATATTCTAGGGCTGCGCCCGACACCAGCTTTGCTGGCTGTCCGGCAGAGGGCCGGAAGCCCCGGACCCAGCCAGGCCGCACACACACGCAGACACACGCAGCACCCACGCACCCGCGCCTAGACATGCACACACACACACACACACACACGTTTCCTGCCAGGACACTGCAATTCTGGCACGCATCGCCAGCATCACCTGCAATCGTTTGCACCTTCCCTAAATCAGTGCTGCTGGAATCACTGTGTCGAGTCTGCGCCCTGGTCAATCTCAAAAAGGTGCCACGGACAAGAAATAAAAGGGTTACGGTTTTGAACAACCCAGTTTACGGCCTTCCCTGGTTTCAAGCCAGTTGACCGTAGATACTTTTTGAATTAGGCGGCGCCTCCAAAGCGAGCTTGCCCTGCAGCTAGTAGCTAGACACCACTAGCCTTTGTTCCCAGAGTCGCCACTTTGCAGTCGCCACTGCATTGTCAGCATTCCCAACGTCCCCAAATGATGATGATGGTGGTAGCGGTGGTGGTGGTCGTGGCGCGCTTTGCCACTTTGCATCCTCAGCATAGCTGGCGGTGCCATGGCTCTGCCCGGAAATCCTTAAACCTGCTTGCCCTCTATAGCTAAACACCGTCAGTGTTCGTTCCCAAGAGTAGCAGCTTTGCATCCCCAGCAAAAACTGGGACAGCCTCAACAACGAGCTTGCCCTAGACAGCTAAACATTAGTATCTCTAACTGAAATCTATTTCAGAAAAGTGAGAAACAGGAGGATCATGATGGCGCCTTGCATCCCCGCCCACGCGCCGCTTTGAGTCCTCAGCATTGCTAGTGGTGCCCGGACAGCCTTGCTGCAGATGACCGCTGCCCCCTACAGCCACCACTTCCTTGTTCGGCGGATTTTTACGTAAAGACGGCTTGGCAAGAGCAAGATGAATGATAGGTTGGGCCGGCGCTGCTCTCAGAAAGTTGGTCGGAGAAGCACGCCTTGCGCGCTGCAAAAGAAAAGGCCAGCAGGAAGCAGCGGGCGGGACTCAAAACCGAAAGGGTTTGCGTTGCCACCCATCGGCCTTGACTCGCATGCCAACATGCGCTAACAGAAGTGCCTGGAAAATACGAAACGTTGAAAGCAGTTGACCACCAATGTTGGATGTTGGGTCCTCCCGATTTGTTGGGTTTGTTGCATTTTTTGGCTTTTTCGTGGGGACGGCCAATTTTGGAGGAAGCGATCGCAATTTTTGGTGGAACAATTGTAATTTTGAAGGGAGCGGCCGGAAGTTTCGAGGAAACCGCCAGATTCTCGACTGCCGTAATTTTGCAATTTGCCTCGTGTGGCATGGTGAAGCGGTAGGGGAAGCATTTGTTTGGGCATTGACCGAAGTCTGGCATAAAGCAAAAGGCCAGAAAGCTGTTCCTTCGGCCATGTTTTTCACAACACAAATTTCAGCCGGGGCTGCGGAAGTGTACTTCGCGTGCTGCTTGTATATTGAATGTTGCGAAATAACCCCGTGAAAGCTCCGCAATGACGTGGCGAAGGTGTTTTTTCGGCGCGAAACAAGGGGTTTGGTTCGGCGCATGGTTTTTCATCATTTCACAGGTGCAGGCACCCAGAAGCCCCAGGCCCTGCATTCAAATCTGGGTTGCTGGGCCCTGGGCCTGGGTGGCATGGGCGAATTCCAGATGGCGAGACGCCCGAGGTACTCCTGCGCGCAACGGCAGGAGACCGTGCAGGTTGCCAGCGTCAAGATCTTGGATCTTCTTTCTCCAGGCTTTGGGCTAAGGGCACATGTAGTGGGGGCAAAGCCATGCAGGGGGCCGATGAGACGTGGCAGCAAAAAGAACCATCTAGCCCTAAGTTGTGAAACATCGCGTTGCAGTGAAGTTGTTTGTTTTACCTTTGGCATGGGAATGAGTTCTTCAGCGCTTACTGTAGTGTTTGGTTGGTCGAACGGTTGGTTGTTTGATTGAGCTCAACAAGTTCTTGCGGGTTTCAGTCGTTTCAGGCTTGTGTTTGAGATTGGTATTGGGCTGATTCACGTGAGGTTTATAAACAACCCCCTCAGACCAACATTGCTGTGATCACAGTCTGATCCTACCAAATCTGGATGTCTCATAAGGATGGTCAAAGCAACTTTCCAGTCCCCGGGTCATGAGGACTTGAAATGAGTAGAGCACTGTGTTGGTTGGTACTGGTGATGTCATGCAGGGCTGAGGGCGATAACTCGCGCTTGAACGCCACCTTGCTTTTACTGCATATGGGCACAAAATGCTGAAAGGGTCCCACACAATCAAAGTCATTCATCATTGATTTCTTTAAGCAAGTGTTTGCGCATGTTGCATTCCACGCGGGCATGAATGTGTTGCATGTTTATATTTTGTTCCATCGGGATTTGCGTGTGTGTGCAGGCTTGGCTTCGCACGAAGCTTGTCATGTTGCGTCCAATTGCGGTTTGCATGTTTTCTTTGTGGCGTTTGCGATTGGCCAGAGCTGGGTGGGTTGCCATGGGGTTTTGCATTTGGCGGTAGTGTTGCCTGCCACGCAGCAAAGCAAAATCATGCTGCGTTCCACGCAGGGAAACAGTGAGTTCCATGCGGGGTCGCATCCGTTTGCAAGTTGCAACTTTGGGGGGGTTTCTCTTTTGTACTTGTCCATGTAGCAGTTCCGAGCAGTGCTCATAACTCACAGCTTTCACGTTTGCCTTGATTCTGTTGTCCGACGCGGCCAGGTCTTCGGGATGAACTTCAGTACGAGATGACCTACGTGAAGCTGGTCCACCACCCCCTGTTTGAGGTTCTGGTAGCCGAGCAGGACCCATCCAATAAATTTTCAGGAAGCCATTTGGACACGTCATTGTTCGTGACTCATCGCTGGAGCGTTACCCCCGGGCCAAGGACTGTTGCATTTGTGACATGTTGTATGGAGCAAACACCTGCTTGAAACATCTTCCGTCAAGCATTTGGTCATTCAGCATGGGTTTGCTCCCGCGCTTCCAGGAAGCTTTCATGGTGAAGCTCTGTACAGTGGCAACCACAACGGCAACATTTGCAGCCACCTGGCCTTGGAGATTGGCCTTGGGAAGATGTTTGTTTGTTTGCTTTTTTGTGACGGGCTTGTTTGCAATGTGGCTGGGAACGTCATTCGCAGTTGACCCACCCACCATACACACGGATGATGCAAGACAGGTTAGTTTCGATCAAGATTCGGGAACAAATTGAATCTCCTTTACCAGAAAATCAATGTTTCTATCGCGCGGGAGTGTTCGGGGGCAGATCGCTCAACATAGGCTCCTTGCACCTGCACCGGCCAGCCTTGCCCTTGTTTGGTTGGGATGTGCGGGTGCTCGAGGACACTGATGTCCTCTTCCACCAGGGGGTTCCTGCGAGCTGCATGTACTTCTTAGTGACGCCTGCCAGCAAGGCGTTTGCTTGCTTCGTTGGCTCAGAAACCCTGCACTGCACACGGCAAGCGAGGTAAGTGCTGGGCTGAGGTAGTCATAGGTGAGGTGTAGCCATGTGACCGCAGATGGCTGAAGCTTGCGCTGATGATTTCAGCTCCATTCTTGCGGCTTGTTGGCTTGATCCTCGTACTGCGTGCTTGGCTGGGATCTTGTGGCATAGTGCTTGGCTGGGATCTTGTGGTATAGAAGCTGTATATCAAGCCTCTGCCGAAATCAAATTTGCTTCATCGGGAAGACTCATCTATCAAGGCATGGCCTTCTTGGACTTGTTCAGTGGGTGCAAGCAGTCAAATAGTCAGATTTGATTGTAGCATCTGATGCATTTGAGAGTCTGAGGCAGCCCTGAAGTTCTGTTAGTGGGGCATGCAGCAACATGCAGCCTAGTACTTGCAGACCATGAGTTATTTCCTGGCGCTTGCTTTGTTGTAAGAGTGCCCTCCCCTTCATGTGGCATTTGGAAGGACAGCCAGCGGAAACCAACAGTGGAGCTTGCCTTTTTTCTGGGCGGTGGGGGGGTGGAGGGATGCCCTGTCAGCCCGCAGGATGAGTGGCATGCTTCACGCACTCCAAAACGAGGACAAACCTCACTTAGAAGCCGCGTGCGCACGATGCAGGCTTGTCCACCTGCGGATCTTCCTCGTTTCCTGGTTCTTGCAACCCTTCCTGCGGAAAGACGATAAAAGGCGTAGCTAAGCAAGTCCATTGACAAAGGCCCAGTTCAACGAGGCCGAAGCCACAGGTTGAATGCAACTGGATCGCGTGTGCTTTGCGCACGCCGGCTGTTGGATCTCATCTCCACAGGTCCCAGTGAGATGGCAACAATGTTTGAATTGGAGGTTTGCACATTGTTCAGCAAAATGGATCGGGAGTCCCGTTCAGAGGCAAAGCTTCTTTGGGAGGGGCAGCACCCAGCCCCTCGGGTAGCCGAGGCGGGGAAGCCTCGAATACCTGCAGTTTGGTGCCTTCCTGCAGCCGCCACTGATGTCGGGGGACGCCCGGCAGGAGATGTTCCAAGTCCAGCAGCGCAAAAGGGGAGATGTCGGCTTTGTCTTTTATTCTTTTCTTGGGGTTCTGCAGGAACCTATTGCCTACCCATGTGCAGGAGTTTCCGAGCAACAGCTATTGTACACAAGTTTGGGGACACATTAATATGCATACTGAACATGCACGTATATGCACGTGTGTCGGCGTCAATTAGGCTGCGAGAGCGTCATTCTAATTAGAGTGGTTTCGAACTAGCAAGTCGGCGACTTGTTTTTCTTCAAGCAGGACGTGAATGGGGCATTCATGAAAACCACTTCAATGGACTCTAGAATCATACTATATAGCTGATGGTCTTCTTGAGGATTGGCAGATGATGGGCAGAAGTTTTGTTTGTCTTGATCCCCCAGTTGGAGTCAGAGAAAGAAAGCTAATCATGCCGGTGTATAGCATGGGATGTTGAGCTTGAAGTTGTGATAGCCCGAAGCTCGGGCCCGAGCGACAGCTTGGGACAAGGGCGCTTGCGAGCGCTCGCACGCTTTGTGTTTGTTGCGGGTTGCACCCCCCTTTTTGTTCGCGTCGGGCTGCTAGATGCCCGCAATGCGAAACGCGTATGCGCAAAACGTTCAGAAGCTGTTTGGTGGGTTGAGCATGCTTCATGTATTGGAAAGTCATAGTCTCAGAGCTGTGGTGGCACAGTTGCAGTCAGTTTGTACCTTCATACAAATACAGCGACAAATCCAACATGTCCGAGTCACAAATGCGAGTGACCCTTTCATTCATGTTCAGAATCGATCCAAATGTGCAATTATCAATGGCGAAGGCACATATAATATATTGCTACGGTAAGGAGCTTGGAGACCGTAATTCGATGCTGCAGCCCAAAACAAGTTTGTGTCTATTGTGCATTCTGTTTTTGAACCAATTGACCTTCATGCAGTCATATATACTATCACCATTGCATTGTGGCTGAAGGCTCTTCTTTGATGCACAAGATAAAAAAGCCAACAATTGCTGCCTTGCTCTCGCGCCATAATACGCAATACGCATACCAAGGACTTCCAGCACACTACAATCCATCAGACATCAGGTCCTTCTCTTGAAACAGATCCAGGGCCACAAGGACTGCCTAGAGTGTGTATCTTCTCCTTAGGGATTGGCTGCCCCAGTGCGGCCCCCCCCCCTCCCCAAACAGAACTCCAGTTGCTGGCAAAGGCTGGGGAAGAAGGTTTCGAGGCGCTACCATCCCCACCCCCCCCACCCCCACCCGCCACCCCCCAGCGCGCGCCATGTCAATGTGTTGACGAAGGCAGGGCCGGGGAAGTGTTGGAAGCGGGTTTGGGCTTGCGGGTATCTAACAGCCCGATACATTTTTGTTTGTGCCTTGGTTGCGACTATGGCCCCGATCCTCGAGGATGGGGAGGACGCCTCGCCGGTGGTGCGGTGGTGGACAGGGCTCTGCCCAGCGGCAAGGGATGGCGCCACTGGTGGCTGGTGGTGGGCTGATGGGGTGCGATGGTTTGATGTAGCAGCTGGAAATTTGTGGAGCTACAGCAAAAAGTGGTGACGATGAAGCACAAGGTTCTGAAGCTGCTGGAGGGGATCCATCAGTTCGTCCTGGAGCTGATGGTGATGATGATGATCCGGAGGGTGAGGAAGAAGAAGAAGAAGTACGGGAGGATCCCATTGTGGAAGCTTCGGCGCGAGGGAGGGGCAAGGCGGAGTTGACGTGAGGGTACATCGAGATGAGAAGACCAGGGCACTGCGGAAGAGACTAAAGGAAACAAGCGCTACTCCAAGCGGCCGAGGAGACCGGAGAGGCGTTAGAGGGACAGACGCGGAGGAGGCCGCTACCAGCACAGCGCCCATCTTGCTGCGGGCTGGAGGATGAAGAAGAGCCAGATCTGGAGGAGGCAGAGGAGCCGACAGATGAAGAGGATCTTGAGCGGGAGGCATTTAGCCCGAAATGAGGAAGAGAATATCTGCAGATCTCCAGATGCCTTGGTGGAAAAGGGGGCAAGCCTGGAGGCACGAGCCTGGCAAACGGAGTGCGGAGTATGAGAGCGACTCGGACCTTGCAATGGAGTTGGAGTCCGAGGATGAACAAGAAGGCGCGCCAAGCTTCCAGACCAACATGAGGGAAGGAAGCCATCAAAGGACAGTCGAGGTGCGTTCTGGTGAAATTTGCCCCAGATCTGTCGACATGAGAAGGCGCTGAGGGCCGAGCGCAAGAGGAAGAGTGCCTGACTGGTGGAGAAAGAGCGCAGGGCATGTCAAAGCCCCAAAGGCGCAGGCCCTGGCAAAGCAGATGGCCAAAGCAAGCAGCAGCAGGGCAAGATCTGCCCGCGGCAGCAAAAGCGGAAGTGAGCCGGCGGGTGCATCATCGGCACCGCCGCCTATAGATGAAGAAGCAGTGGGACTAGTTCAGAATGGGGCTGTGCCATCCAGAATTTGCGATCCGCATCACAAGAATTGCGCTACGCCAGATGCCGAAGATGCTCATCCATCGAACACGTTCTAATGATGGTGGGGGATTTCGGCGAGAGGGAACACGGGTTCCCTAGCCGCAGCAGTAGAGCGGAGGAGGCGTCGGCGTGAACGACGACATGGCCGTCTATGTGCACAGTCTGGAGGCCACACAGTTGCTCTACGACACTAGCAAGCTACAGAGGATCAGCTGTGTCCTTCTTTGACGCCAGCCAGCTGGCGGGAGTGCGCTTCTCGGCGGGCACGGCTGTAAAGAGCCAGCAGGCCCCAACGACATTGGTGGACTACCACATCAGCAACAGCACAAGGGTGCTTCGGCAGCGGAACCAGCGTCGATGAGCATGTACATGGGCTACCTGCTGCAGGTCTACCAGACTAGAGGCGTGTAGAACGTCGGCCATGTGGTCACGACCACATTGCAAGCACCGGTCAGGTGTTGAGGGAGTCGATGTTGGACATCGGCCACTCCTCACGAAAAGCATGCGAGGAGTGCCCTGTGAGGAATTCCACAAAGAGGGCACGATCAGCTTGAAGGAGACCGAGAAGGAGCGCGCAGTGGAAGAACACCGCCAAAGAATTCGGAAGGCTCCGCGCGAGAGGCGTAAGAGCAGGTTATCCGAACAACTTCATTTGGTATGTGAAGAACTAAGCATGCCAGTGTATAGCAAGGGATGTTGAGCTTGAAGTTGTGGTCGCACGAAGCTCGGGCCTGAGCGAAAGCATTTGGAAAAGGGCGCTTGCGAGCGCTCGCACTTTTTGTTCCAGGTTGCTCTCCCCCTTTTTGTTTGATCTCCGCACGGGTGACAACATGTGACAATTATACCAAGCCTTGTTACTTCAAGCTGAGCTCAGGAAAGTCTGGCGGAAGCCAGTCTTTGGTTGCCCTGGGTGCACAGCGGCCGCTCGCATGCTACGGCGCCTTGGCACTCTTTTCACCTTTCGGGGGGCCAACTGGGCTTGTTTACCAGGACTGCTTTGTGGTGCAGCGGATTTGATGACTGAATGGCAAGAGGACAAGTGGCGGTCGTATTCCCGCAATGCCCAGTTGCAAGGTGGAGACGGAGGTCCTTATCATAGATTCCTCCAAGTTCTGCCGCTTGAATTGAGTTGGAGACAAGGAGTCGCCTTGCCGGATTTGAGATGGGTGGCGGGTTGGGGTGGGCATGTTCAGACGGGTGAAGGGCTGTAGCGGTGAGAATCTGAATCTCGACGCGGGTGTGCTGGAGTCACAGTAGGTGCAGACTTTCGGGTGGAGGTTATGCCTATCAAGTCTGGTTTGCTTGGCTCCGACGGATTCTCCTGAACCCCGTGCTTCAGGCCGTTTGGCCGCCAAGTACGTGGATACTTGGAGCCTTGGCACTCGGAAGCACGCCTCTCCGATGATTCATAAAGTGCTGGCTGAATCTGGGGCCTTGCGCTTTGCCAAGGGCACTTGCACTGCTAAGGCGGCAACGCACAAAGAACTGTAGGGTGTGGTGTGCCCATGTGTTGCTTTTTCGCTTGTGCAGGTGTTCCAGCCGGGTTTGAGGCATCAGGAATTCTTTGATGTTTTCATGCCATGCCCACTGCCTCTCAATACTGCCAACAAGATTTGTTGGAATACTTTCTGTCAAGCCAACATGGCCAACGGCATTTGCTAAGTACCCCCTGCCACGTGGATTGCCAGATGGCACTGGCAGTCAATGAGCGTTTTTGCGAAATAGGGAGCTCCAGGAGGCGGACATTCTTGCAGCGTCACGAAGCCATCGGACACATGTTGCCCGGGGAGGGCACCGATCCGGTGAGGAACATGTGCTCCTACTTTGCGCGCTGCTTCCGTGATGAGTTCATCGCGGGCGGTTCGGATGTGTTCCGCAGCCCTGACTTCTACGAGCAGCTTAGTTGCAACATGCTCCCGCCCTTTTATCTTTGGGAATCCATTTGGCCGATGGCAGCTATGCCAGCTTGACGCACGGAATTGTATCGAGTCAATAGTCGGGCCCAGGGCAAAAAAGGCAACATCAACTACTTGGAGGAAGCCTGTTTGCAAAACCTGTTCAAATGTCACTCTATATGTCATGATGCACCTCTTGTTTGGAAGGTAGAAGCCAAGAGGTTTCAAGCGGAGTGGCGGTGTGTTTCCCGCTCAAGCAAACATAGAGGTGGACAGAGGGAAGAAAGAAGTAGCGTCACACTGCAGTCGCAGAAGACTGTTGGTTTCCGCCATATTTTTGTTCAATTACAGGCTGTTGTGCTTGCTTTGACGATCGTCAAGCTGCAATGCAGGGTGTTGGGTGGGGAGCAACAACATGCCAACTTGGGATTAACCCGGAGGATGCCAATCGAGGAAGCCCCTTTAAGTGAATTTATTCCCGTCAAACAAGGGACCCGCCTCGCAGTATGGTTCCGTATGGATTTCCGCATTGATTCGAAAGTAATAGTACCTGTTGGCTCAGAAGATTCTCATAGCAGCAGGCACGTGCTTGTAGCCGCCGCAGTGGGTTCAGCAATTACTGTTTTACTTGTATTTCAGAAACCGCCTTGTGCGTCCAAAGCGAGCAGCGCGGAATGGTTTGATTCTTCCAGGGTAGTTTTCGCCGGGCAACAACGTGTTTGCTTGTAAAATGTGCAAACGAAGTCCTTCGCGGAAGCAGTCTTCCACAAAGTGTCGGAACAACTTGCGGCGGGGAGCGCGGCCGCACTATTGGGGTATGCTTCCCTGAAAGTACCCCGCATGGCGGAAGGCTTGGCGGAAGGGGCCCAAATGTCCAGTCAAGGGGATAAACCAGATCAAGTGAGAGGCAGTTCTGGTGAGGTTAGTTTCTCTCTGCTCTCCCGCAGGAACGTCCGGGATTCCATGAAGGCACTGCAGGCGCTGGGCGACCGGAGAACGCGGCGCAAGAGCTGGATGATGCTGGCCACCGGGCGCGGGTCCCCGGCCCGGGTACGGGGAAGACCCGTGGCAATGAGCTTTGGGCAATCGACGCAGTGGGAGCAAAAGGAGTTGTCATACCACCGGGGTCATTATTTTGACGGTTTCTGGGGGTTATCAAAGACAGAAATGGGGTTGTTTCCCACTTAGAGGGTGACTTTGACCATGGTAAATAATGAAGCCAGTACCATGATTGTAAAATAGAGTTCTGGGTTCATGGCTGATAAGGAACCAAAAGGGTATTCCAAGATAGGATTTGCCCACATGTGATGGGTTAGGCCTTTGCTGCTTTGATTTCACCAATGCACAGACACACACACACACACACACAAGGGCGCAATTCGCACTCACGGATTGGTGTTGAGTTTTTATCCCCGAACATATGTACGGATGCCAACTGAACGAAATCAGTTCTGGGAGCCCAAGGAACAAGGGGCTGCGGGGTTGACAAAAGCTTTTGGCAAGCATGATGTTCATGGAATATGGTGGGTGCATTTATAAGAGGAACATATTGACACTATTCCTATTTTAGGATGATGCTCGAGTTTTCTTTGATGCCTGCCCCATCCATCCAATCCGCAAAGCAGCGAGCGCCGAGCAGCAAAAGCTGCTGGCAGTTTCATTGACCATTTGCATGTCGCATAGGTAAGTGGCGTTGATTGACCCTTTGACTTTGCTTGTTGTAGACAACGCAGGCTCTTTGCTTAAGTGTCCTTTGGATCAACGTAAAGGTCTTGGCGAGATCGTGAATCAGATGCTGCTAGTCACTTGTTTGTCAGCCTTTGGCAAGGCTTCAGGTTACATTGCGCTGGCATTCCGCGTGCGTGCTAAGTTGGCTTGTCTGCAAGGTGATTCTTGAAAGTTGCATCAAAGATGGGCCGTGGACCTCCCCTTTTTTGTGCTTTGCGTTTTACGCACGTTTGGGGCTTGGCGCAGGAAGCGCCTCTCAATCTTCTCGACCGCACCGGTGTCCTCCCTTGCCACATCAACGCTTTGGCGGCTGGGATGCAATGACGAGACTAACCTGCCAGTGGAAGGTTTTGTTTATGTGAGCATTGGCATCCGAGAGGGGCATGTGGAACCTGTTGACTTTTTCTGATGGAGATGTTCAAGCATTTGCAAAACTAGCAAGTCTAGTGGCTGCAAAACCTTTAGCACATCTAAGTGCAGAGTACACAAACGTTTGCAGTGCTGACTGTGCCCGCTAACACGTGCAACTTGTTTTCCGTCTGCCATAAGGGTGAGGGGGTTGGAATCAACAGATGAATCGTTTGTATGGAGTACGCTTTCTTGCAGTGTTCTACCCACTTGGCCTTTGTCAGGACAATTACACTGTGCGTAAAGGGTAGCTGTGCACATGCACAAGCTGGGCAAAGGATTAGTACTTTGGCGATGTGCCTGTTTTAGGTGTCCCTAACACCCCTCCGCCGTCACCCATGGGCATAGGTCATACAACCGTGTCCCCCCCCAGTACGGGGAAATTGCGCAACCCGAGCAATCCAACCCTCAACCACCCACAAACGAATCCTGAACCAATCCTCACTTGAGTAGAAGAAACCCTACATCCACGTATACCAAGCTGAATCAACCGGAAACCAACCCTCAAACCACGAACCAACCCTAAGCCAACCCTAGGCCCATCCAAAACCAACCCTGCGCCACAACCCAACCACAAGACCACAGGACCACGCGGTGGGGGAAGGGGCGCTACCACCATGCATATCTTAAGAGCTAAACCTGAGCTGAGTTGCGAAGTGTCTTTGGGCGCTCAAGGTTTGCGTGATTGCTTCTCAATACGTGGTCAGCCTGGCTTGAGGGTGTTTGGATCATTGTGGGTTAACAGCAGTCCTGCAGAAAAGCAGTAGCATGTGTAATCCCTGAAGTAGAGAGTTGGGAAGGGGTCTTGCATCCTTGATTGGCGGCTGGATTTTGTGCTCAGCTCCAGGGCTCTCAGAGGCCTATGGCTCAGTCTCGAGGATTTCAGCTGGGCTTCAGCATTTTCCTCAGCCCCGTTTGTGCAAAATGTTGCTGAGTGGGGTGCTGAAGATGCCTTGCATGAATGATCCAAGTGCCACATTTCACCTTTGCAAGCAAGAAAAGGACATAGAAACATAGAGAGGTTGAAACCGGAGGGTGCGGCAGCATTGGCAGCATTGCTTCAACCGAAAGGTGTTGGTGCTGTGATAGCTTCCACCTTTGCGGAGCCTGGCGAAGATTCCTTGCCCCCGGAGCCATGGAGATGTCCTCCGTTTGGCTCGGGATGTTGGACGAAGTGCTGGAGGCGAATGGGGCGGAACAGTGAACCTGATGCCATGAGTTCACACGAAACCTGTGGCCTTGGTTCATTGGGTTGCGGGCTAAACCGGATCCGGATCTGGGCTTCTTTCTGAGTTGGATAAAATCAAGATCTCTTGCTGTGCATATGTTCCTCCTTTTGTATGTGATGACCTTTTCAATCCATGATGCAGTATGCAGTACGCAGATTCATCATGTCCGAGGCCGACGGCCATGTGACGCCAGGCAGCAGGCGGCGCACTCCGCTGGCCGGAGCTGCGGCGGCAGCTGCTGCGGCGCTGTAAGCAGCTGGGCCTCGAAAGGGATCACCTGGCTTTGGAGCTGCTGGCCGCTTTGCTGCAAGAGGAAAGCGGGGACAGGAACCAGAAAAACCCTGAAAGCAAGGCACCCTCGTGCTGCACAACCAAACTGAAGTAGGGACTGCGTGTTTGAACGATGACATGCCCTTGGGTGCCACAACCAAAGAAAGCACCTTGGGTGCCCGTTTCCCTGCTGGTGCACAATTGCCCAAGGCACCTCCCAAGCCTTTCGCCTCGCCAATTTGCCAGTTTGTCGCGAGATGAAAGAAATTAACTTGGAGGCCCTTTAATAGTTCTCCAATGGTCTCCAAAGAGTGTCTGCACGGCCCCCGCCCATGAGGCCCAAGCACATACAGAGATGTTTGGGGATGACAGCGCCTTTTGATATTCATTGTGCTCGGCCCAGCGGGCACCGAAATGTTCAACAGGTTCGGCCGCATCCAACTTGGCGCTTGCGCATTCTCAATGACATACCCTCCACATCTTGATTTCAATAAGTGACACTTGACATTACACTGCGGCGCGCACTTTCCAGACGTGATTGCGCATTGCATTTGCCTTTCTAAACAGCCATGCCTAATTTCCTGACTAATGCAAGCGGGCACTCAACGCCACGGTGTACAGAGTCATGTTGCAAGTCTGACTTGTTGGTGCAGTGACTGCTCCTCGTGCCATAAGTGATGCAGCAGCGGGTTTGCAGACCACCTCCCCCCCTGCCCGCCCTTGTCGCAGTCCTGCGCTCATCTAGTTATCTAGTTGCAAGCGCTTTGCTGCATATTTGGCTGGCTTTCGGAAGAATGTGCTTGGCAGTGGGGCACGCATATCTGAGTGTTGCTCGTTTCGAGGCCAGCATCCCCGAGTCCTACCTCAGCAATGAGGACGCGTGGGTACGCAGACCAAGCCGACCAAGCCGATCACGCCAGACATCCTTTTATCCTCCTCTGTCTGTGCATGTCATCAGTTGTGGTGACGTCCACGCCTTGCAGCAAGAATTGAAGGCGCTTCTGCGAGCATGCACTTGCCTTGGCATGGGCTGTCACACTCGACGACAATGAACGATTGCGTCCTTTTTGATGGCAAATTCCCCTTTGGTTGCCCAGCGTAATGCGACTGGCTTGATTTGCCAGCATGTTATATCATGACTTGCTTGCCGATTGCTGCAGTGTCAAACACCTTTGAAACCTGCAAGACGCCACACATGCAGTGCGTCATAGAGAGCATCGTAGCTTCAATTGGATGCTATTGGGTTCGGAGCCAATGCGGCAGGTTTTTGCAGGCGGCTACCCACCGATAATCCCAACCCTAGCAATTTTGCCCGGAGAGCCTGTGCAGATGCGGAAGGGGACATTTCTTCCTGCGCAACGCAAACAAACGCATGGGTTTGTTTGTACCTAATAGACGGAGCCAATGAACTCCTTTGATCCCCTTCTGCGAGGCGGCGGGGTGCCACTTGGTGGCTTTCGGCTCGCGGCGCTGTGGCGCATGCGGCGCTGCGGTTGCAGAGTTCCACCAGCTGGCAGCAGAGATGCCGGAACTGCGATGCCTGCAGGCAGAAGCGACCAGCCACTCACCAAATGCATGGTTCCTGTTGGCTTTAGTGTGCGACATGCTTGGAGGATGACATCGGGTCTTGTTTGTTATGTGTTTGCTTTCTTGCTTTCTTGCTTTGTATTTGCTGTTTGTTTTTGTGCTGTTTGTCGTTGTTGTTGGTTTCGCTCTTTGTAGGGCGGGGGGGGTGGTAGAGGAGGGAGGGAGGGAGGGAGGGAGGGAGGGAGGGAGGGAGGGAGGGAGAGAGAGAGAGAGAGAGTTTCCTGCTGTCTGGCTCCAGAAAATTGTCAAGATAGATGCCAGTTTCTTGGCGTTTGCATTGTGCCAAGGAAAATTGGCAATAGCTTTGGCAATTTGAAATTACGTGTTTGGTGTTTTTCGGATTTTGCACCGGAAAAGGGCGTCTTTGATCAGAGGGGGTTTTGGCAGGTGCCAAGTAATTTTTTCAGCCATATCAAGAGGAGTCTTTTGGCCAAGCCTTGTGGGTGCCTTTAAGGTAGCAATGTCTAGCAGTCGGCTGGAAAGATCGGGCGTCTTTAATCAGAGGAGGTTTATTAATCATGTGCCGAAAGTATGGGCATTGAGCTACTTGTTTTTCTCCCAGCCTTTGAGTTCTTTGTTGCTCGCTGCTCGGCTGGCAAATGCGCAGCGACAGGTTGACGCGGACATGAACGCCGAAGCTGCTGACAGCTTCAAGGTGGCCTTCCTGCCAACGTTCCTCTTCATCAGAAATGAGAAGGCCGACTGCTCAGATCACAATTCTGCGCCATGCTGGGCACCAAGAGCTACGGATTGGCTTGAAGCCATGTACATGTTGCACGTTGTTTACCAGAACTGCTGTTTTGCAGTTCCAGCCTTGCAGGTGCACAGTAGAATTTTGCGCCCAGAAGGGCCAATCCAAAAGCCACGTATTGCCGACTTGAGCCAAGCATGTGCGTAACAACTCACCACAGCAGAGCTTTTTGGCGGTGGCATCTTAGATCTCCTGAGCATTGGAGGCTTGAGATTGGTGACCGCGCAGTTGGCGCTGCTCAACGTAACAGAAGGCTCTTGATTTTGAAAGGCACAGAAGGCTGCCGGACAAATCCAGAGGGCCACACCAACGGCAGAGCTCCTCTTCGATATTTCCTGGGCAAGCAGCCTCTGAACGAGCCCGATGCTAATGGTTAAGGAGAACGGCAGCTCACTTCGTGGTCTTTTGGGCGTTGACGATTGCCATTGACAAATCCGTCTGCAACGGAAACGTGTAGTTTGATTGTGCCATTTACTTTGAAGGGCCGGCCTCGGGGCCTTCAATGCCTTCAGGCCCCAATCAGAATGATCGCACAAGTCATGAGTGTACTCTGAGGTCATCGGCCGTTACGAGGGCGCTGACGTTGATGCCCTGACCTTGAAAGCTCTAGAGTGCAAATGATGTGCGAAGTCAGCGTGTCGCCACATTGAGGCAGGAGTTGGGAACCGCCGAAAGCAAGCAGGAAGCCAACTGGCGAGCAACCTCGCCTAGGCCTAAACAAAACGCAAGTTTCACCCTAGATCATCACGAATGCCTAAGTCGGCCATCGAAGCCGTTCAGACCAAATTGATCCTGCCCTCAACCAGTCCGAAACAACCCCCACCCAACAAAAACAGCAGCAAAAACAGGCGTTTTGATTTGCACCTTTTTACACCTGTCCAATGCCAACCCTGAACAAACCCTACACCCACGCCACCCAACTCATCCAATGCTGATTCTAAACTAGCGCGGCACGAGTTACAGCCTGATCCCAGCACCACCCGCCAAACCCATCAGCAACTCATCCTCAGCCCTACGCCATCCCAGCCCTGCGCGATCCGCAGGACATGGCGCCGTCATGGGCAATGCCAAGCCCCCAGGCCTCAGCTTCGGCAGCTGAAACGAACGCCAGCGACTTGATGGACGCGCTCACGCGCGGGGAGTCTGGCCTTGAGCCCTTGAGCTATGCAAAGCACAGCAAACTGTGGCTGCCAGCAATTGCGGCAGCGTTGGGTTTCTGCACTTGTGTTAGGGCATAAGTGCCCTGTCATCATGCCCTTGTTCTCCCCTTCAGCGGATGGGTCGGCCAGAAGGTGATGGCCAGTGCCATCCATCCGTTGGGTGCCCTTGTGCTGACCCTCGATATGCTGCACAGTCGGCGTCCGTGAGAAGACAGGTGCGAAAAGATGCTGATCCTCCGCACCTGATCTTTGTTACTGTGGGAATACATTGTCGCGGATGAGTTGCTTCTCTCTAGTCGTTGGTCGGGTGACTCATTGGGTAGGGACGGGTTGCTAGGTTCGCTAGGCCATACGTTGTGCATGCTTCTCTTGGTTTTGTGATGCAGTGCGAGGAAGGCACCACGCTCGTCCATGACCTTCGCCAAAGCACCTCGGCATTCAGTGCGGACAGAGAGATTCTCGAGGGTATTTCCGCCACTCGGCCATGGGGCACACAGGGACATCAATTGCTTCCGGGTGCTCGCTTTACAGCGTTTTTCGACAGCCAGAGCCCAGTAGTGCTCGCACATGTTTTCCAAGCCGCATCGTTGAACATGCTGGAGACCATGTAACCTGAATTGCGATGTATTGATTGTGATCACCTGAGGTGAGAGGCAAACACACGAGTGCACACATTCGCTCATTCCATTCCATTTCCATTTCGTTCGTCCATCCATTCCTTTCCATTCCATTCCATATTTCATTCCATTCCATTCCATATTCATTCCATTCCATATTCATTCCATTCCATATTTTATTCCATAGTTCATTCAATTCCATTCCATATTTCATTCCACTCCATTCCATATTTGATTCCATTCCATAATTCATCCCATTCCATTCCATCCCTTCCACTCCACTCCACTCCACTTCATTTCATTCTGTTCGTTTGTTTATTCCTTCATTCTTTCATTCACTCACTCACTCTCACTCACTCACTCACTCACTCACTCACTCACTCACTCACTCACTCACTCACTCACTCACTCACTCACTCACTCTCACTCACTCACTCACTCACTCACTCACTCACTCACTCACTCACTCACTCACTCACTCACTCACTCACTCACTCACTCACTCACTCACTCACTCGTTAATTTGTTTGTTTGTTTGTTTGTTTGTTCATTCATTCATTCATTCATGCATTCATTCATTCATTTCATGTCATTTCATTTAATGTCATTTCATTTCATTTCATTTCATTTCATTTCCATCCATTTCATTTCATTTCATTTCATTTCATTTCATTTCATTTCATTTCATTTCATTTCATTTCATTTCATTTCCATCCATCCATCCATTCATTCATTCATTCATTCATTCATTCATTCATTCATTCATTCATTCATTCATTCATTCATTCATTCATTTATTCATTCATTCATTCATTCATTCATTCATTCATTCATGCAGTTGTTTGTTGCTACCTTATCTTAAACCAGCTGCGCTTGTACATTCGGCTTAGCTACAACAGTGGCTAAAGTCTAGCGTTTCCAGGCAAAGCCCGCATCTTTGAGTGTGGCATGCTGCCAGCCGCAGAACAAAGTTCTGATGTCTCTGGAATGACCGCTCGCATGGGCCAGGACGACATGCAGAAGGAGGATCATGAGAGGGCCGCTGCGCCTCTCAGCCTGTAAGATCCGCGTCTTCCCACGTGCCAGCAAGTTTACTTTGGAATGCGCGATGACAATCTGTCATGCAAAGTGCAATGTGCCAAGTCATGCCGGACCCAATGGTCTAAGCGACTTGCAGAGCGCTCGCCTTGGTTTTCAAGCCGATGAGTCATGCAATGGCATGACGCAGCTCGGCTTTCTGTTTTCCGCAGCAGGTGGAGCGCTCTAGAAAAGCTGATTTTCATTTGTGCCCAAATCCACTCGCGCCATTTCTTGCCGAACGGGCCCATGAAGGCCACATCTTGCGACTGTAAATAGGCCTTCTCGTTGGTACAGGGTTGTTTCCCTGCGGTTTGGAAGAGACAGGCCTGAGGACTCATGAAGCGCACGAAGAGCAAACTGCCATAGATCATCCTCTTTTACTTCAGCAGTTACGAACCAACGGCGCACTGCGTGTTAAAGTGGCCAACGGAAACCAAAAGACGGCGAGAGACGGAAGAGGTGCAAGTTTTAGCCATGGAGCTAGCCGATGAAATGTGGTCCCTGACCTGAAGTCGGCTTCCTGAGGAAGCCCGACGCCGGATGCCGCACATGTGCACAGCCTCAGCCTCACAGGCGATTCTATGTTTTTGACGGATCTATGCAACACATTCATCCCTAGTGTAACGATTTGCAAGGCTAGCGCTGGAGCAGGCATGCGCCATAGCTTCTGCAAAAAGCAGTTGGAGTTCCGCGCATGCTGGCGCTGAAGAAAAGGCCGACATGCGGAGCAGCATGAATTTGTTGCACGCCTTCAAACATGAATCTGCACAGGGATTCGCACGTCTTGCGCTAGCCCAGGTATCAGAACCGAAGCCTTACAAGGAACCTTGCAACGTTGAACTCTGGGTCTGGACAAGCCTCACATCCAGGCAGCGCCATAGCCGCTCAAGTACTTTCGATCATGAACGCGGATTGAGCCGCCAGGCGCTGACAAGTGCCGCCTTTCAGGCGGGCCCGACAGGCGACAGGCAGAATGCAAGCCACACATCAGCGTCAACATCCCCCAGGGTTGTTGGAGCAGTTGTTGTTGCATCCGGTGGGGGAGAAGGGGCGCTCGGGGGAGGAGGGGTGCTGCCTGCCACAAAGTGCCCCGCAAACCATACATTGCAGACTAGGCACAGATGCGCTTCGCTTCATTCAGGCCTGGGGGAGTTTTACATTGCATGCGTTTAGCGTCTGGGCAAGTTTTGAGATGGAGTTCTGCGAAGGCTGTCGCAACAAGGCCCCTTGAGGGTCTACGCCTTCTATCGACAGCAGCGTTGCCAGCTGCAACATTCGTTTCCACCTTTGACCATGTCTGAATGGACCTGGGGCTTTGCGTATATTCAGCAATTCAGCGACATTCAGCGCTCTGCTGCGAAAACACAGTGGACCCCTCGTCGGCATCGACGTGGCCGACAAATGTGATAGGCCTTTCTTGGAGCCTTTGAGCCTCTGGCCCAAGAACTGCCACAACTCCAGAGGCCTACGCCACAAGTCCGATGCTGCATCTTTCGCAGCATGCCGCGAAGGTTCTTTGCTCGCCTAGGTTCGCCATGGTTTGCAGAGTCGAAAATGTGTAGCTCACGGGAAAGGCGCGCGCATGCGCTCGCGTAGGCATTGTCTTGCCACGTAGGTTTGCGTAGGTTCCTTCAGGCACCCATGCGTGTTTAATGTTAGCACTTGATTAATAAAGGCCCCCCCCCCCCCTGAACAATGGAAGCGCCAAAACAATGGGGGTGCACTTTTGGGACGTCCAAACAATGGAGGATTTTGGGGCCCAATTCTACTTTAGTATTGCAGCCACTTCCTTTTTGCAATTCTACTTTAGTATTGCAGCCACTTCCTTTTTGCAATTCTACTTTAGCTTTTTGCAATTCTACTTTAGTATTGCAGCCACTTCCTTTTTGCAATTCTACTTTAGTATTGCAGCCACTTCCTTTAGTATTGCAGCCACTTCTTTTTTGCCACTATTGTGGTCCCCTAAAACAATCACATTATTGTGGTTCAGTGGGGTCTGTGAGGGGTACCCTTGTCCTGATTGTTTTTTGGCAATTGTTTAGCACGGTTTAATAAAGAGTTTGCAGTTTCAGGGCTGGGGATGGTTTTCAAATTTCAGAGTTTCAGCTGGCTTTGGGTTCTGTGGTTGAGCAACCAATTGAAAGGGGGATGCTTTTAAGCAAGTGGGCCACCAATTGAAAGGGGATGCTTTTAAGCAAGTGGGCTACCAATTGAAAGGGGAATGCTTTTGAGCAAAGCAAGTGATAGTTTATTTTCTGTGGGGGCTTGCCACTATTGTGGTCCCCTAAAACAATCACATTATTGTGGTTCAGTGGGGTCTGTGAGGGGTACCCTTGTCCTGATTGTTTTTTGGCAATTTTTAGCACGGTTTAATAAAGAGTTTGCAGTTTCAGGGCTGGGGATGGTTTTCAAATTTCAGAGTTTCAGCTGGCTTTGGGTTCTGTGGTTGAGCAACCAATTGAAAGGGGAATGCTTTTAAGCAAGTGGGCCACCAATTGAAAGGGGATGCTTTTAAGCAAGTGGGCCACCAATTGAAAGGGGAATGCTTTTGAGCAAAGCAAGTGATAGTTTATTTTCTGGGAGGGGGGGCTGGGGGCTTGCCACTATTGTGGTCCCCTAAAACAATCACATTATTGTGGTTCAGTGGGGTCTGTGAGGGGTACCCTTGTCCTGATTGTTTTTTGGCAATTTTTTTAGCACGGTTTAATAAAGAGTTTGCAGTTTCAGGGCTGGGGATGGTTTTCAAATTTCAGAGTTTCAGCTGGCTTTGGGTTCTGTGGTGAATTTGTTTGCATTTGGTATGGGGTCAACATGGATTTTGGGTGATTGTTTTGCGGGGGGGATGTTTTTTTTTTTTTTTTTAAACTAAAATTGATTTGTGGAGATTTTTTGGAATTTTCCCCCCGGGCAAAAAAACTTTCAATTATTCTGGTCCCCCTAAACAATGGGTGCGAACCAGCATAAGGAATATACTTGACATTATTCAGCACCAGTTGATTAATCAAGTGTTAACATTACTCACCTGCAAAAGCTTAAGCGTAAGCATGTTTGTAGTGTATGGGCCCTGGGTCCATGAAACCTGTTCAAACGACTCGGTTGAGGTCTTGCAGCTTCTGATTTTTCGTGGAGAAGGCAAGTTTGATATTTTTTCATCTTGTTGTTTCAGTCTCTTGCTTTGTGGCAGTGAGATTGCGCGCTCTGGCTCAGCGAAGAACCGGCAGCATGAACTCGAGCCCCAAGTCTCAGGCACGGAGTGAGGGGGGGTACTGATTCGAATTGATTCCGGACACGCTGCCAGCACGTTCCCAAAACATAGTCCACATGTTTGCGATTGCTTGCGGCTAGGGAGTCTTGTTCATTAGGACCTGGTCCAAGTTTTTCTGGATGTTCAGTTAAGGTTGCCATTTTGAATACCTTGGCAACCACAGCGTTGTACGTGTCGTTGTTGGGTTGGCCAGCTTTCGTTCACCTCCATTTCACGTTTTACTTGCAGGCTGGGGCTTGGCAGTACCATAGAGAACCACACGAGAGATTGCTTTCGATCAAGCACATAGTGAGCACAAGTTTATGGCCATGGGCCATTGCTTTCGCCCGGTTTCTGGGGGGATCACGTGTCGCTGAAAGAATGAAACATTCTGTTATGAAAGAGTGGTTTTTTGCTTCAACGCATGCAAGGGCCATAGCAGAAGCAAGACATGGATATGTGCCAGAATAGGGCGACCCCCACAATGGTGGAGTCCTTGTAGCTTGCCTTTAAGCCAACCCCAAGAAGGGTACCCTCAACAAATCACACAATTGGTGCCTGCAGGCAAAGCAGCAGTCGAAGGAGCAGCCTGCCCCTTTCCGCACGCGACTGCCCCTTGGCTTGCATGTGCTTTGGTTTATTGGTTGCATCGATTGATTGCCCTGCCCTGAGTTTGTCTGGAGCAAGTGTGCATCCGGAGGCTTAAGTGTTATTGCCGCTATTGCCAACGCGCACATGCTGTCACACGCGTGCGTTTCCACGCAACTTTGGCAAGCAATCTCCAAGAAGTGCCCAGCCTGGAGACCTCGCGGGGTGAAGAGCCAGAGCCAAATTACGCATGCAAGAAACCCAGCGGCCTTTGGATCCTACAGTCGCGATTGCTCAACACGCAGGGCCAGGCCCCGAGCCACAGCTTGAGCAGATTTTGGGTTCTCACATTATTTGGGCACATCAAGATGCAGCGTCCCTAATTCGGTGTGGTCTGGAGTGGAATGGGTGGGGGGGCGGGGCTGATGATTTTTGATCCCAGAACTGTCTCAAACTTTGAAGCAAACCAAATTCAAGTAGTTTCAAGTTTGTTGCCGGGGGGGCGGGGGCAGGGTCGATTTCAGCGGCTGGTTGACTTCCTGCTGGCACCCATTGGAAGTTCACCAAAAAGGCGACCCCGCTATGTGAGAATTGGATGATGCCCATGATCAGGTTGGAGGATTGCAGACAATCGCTCAGGCGAATCTAGATTCAGATGTGCAAGAGCAGGGACATCTCATTTCGATGGTACGGTTGGCAATCCCAAGTTGAAACCGCTCCCTCTGCAGAGTTAAACATCAAAGTGTTCAAGAGCTTTGCAGCTGGAAAATGCAAAATTCCCTGTTGTGAGGGACTTTTTGCTGTAGGTTTCGCCGCCCCCCCCCCCCCCTGCCCGAGGTTTCGGACCTGGAGGGCCACCTCTTCAGGCCCCGCGGCGGAGGTCTTGGTGAGCCAGGGCCCAAGATCCAGTGGATAGTGCCAACGGGCCGCAGGGTCTATGGCGGGCCTGGCATCCTGGGTCTTTTGGCTGCAGGTTTCCTGAGATGCCTGTGCCAACATGATGGACCGGGCTATTGCGGGGGGGGGGTTCCAATAATATAAGCCTCACTTTGCAGGGGGATGATGTGTGATAGCCCCGCGCGCATAGCCCCCTTGAAGGTCCTTGACAACATGGCCTGCACGACCACATAGCGCCGGGGACATCCTTGAGGTCCACAGAGAGGGTCCAAAGTGGTTGTCATCAACCCTTTCACCGCCAGCCACAGACAATCTCAAAATATACGTAGACTTGTCAAGGCGTTTCATTCCAGACTGATTTGCGTTTTGCTTGGAAACGATAGGGGGCTCGCAAAAGCGATGTGCCTCGCAGCAGAGGGTCGCTGAAGCGATTTGAGCATCGCAAGCAAAACAGAAAATTGAGTTTTTTGAAGGTGGACTAGCTCAAAGTCCGCAGAAGGTCGCGCGAGCGATTTGA